AGAGTATATGGCAGTAGTTGAAGCTGCTAAAGAAGTCTTATGGTTTGCTGAGCTAGTAAAGGAACTGGGCATTGAGCAAGGGGGAGTTCAATAGCATTGTGACAGTCAGAGTGCTATTTATCTGGCTAAGAATCAGGTGTACCATGCGAGAAACAAGCACATTGATGTCAGGTATCACAAGATCAGAGAGTTGATTGCTTCTGGGGAGATACTGTTGCAGAAGGTTCATACTGATGAGAATGCAGCTGATATGTTGATCAAGCCAGTTATTATCAACAAGTTCTTGCATTGCTTGGACTTGTTGAATGTTTGCAATTGTTAGAGAAGCATGGTGGCCCAACCCACAGTGGTGCAAGTGTAACTCTCAGGTATTTTTTCTCCTAAGGGCTGGATATTCGCCAAGGTGGAGATTTGTTATAGTATGGCTCATATACCATATCAGGACAGACGTTGGATCGAAGCGGAGCGGAGCGGAGCGGAAGAATCTGTCCAAATTGGGAAGTTACGTGGGTTGGGGTGCGGGGGCAAAGCCCCGCGGTTTGGTACAGGGGTAATGTTGTAATTACATATTGTGCCTAGGTTTACTCCTGGGGTTATAAATAGGTCTGTTAGTAACCCCAGGAGGTATCCCTGATTTCTGTAAACCCTTTTCTGAATATTGAAAGGAACTCGCCGCTCTGCTCCCGAGGACGTAGGCATCTTTGCCAAACCTCGTTAAATCTCTGTGTTCTTCTGGATTTGTGTCGTTCTAGTTTTTGCATGAATACTCAAAGAATTGAAGTGTTAACAATGAAAATACTAATGAAAATTAGAAAATCTCCATAATTATACATATGTATAGAATTCAAGTGTTGGATAAGTGAGTACTTAGAGATTAAAAGGTTTTGTAGTTCTTTTTTTTTTTTTTGAATTCAGGTTTTAGATGTGTAAACACAATGCAAATTTGCAAAAATCTGAAATTCGACATGATCGATTTCACATGTTGGGTATGTAAATACAATAGAAAGCCTGAAAATATGCAATTCTATGTATTGATTAAGCATTAGATATATAAATGTCATAAAAACTTGTAGAATGTGAGAATCTAGCATATGGATTCAAGTGCTATACATGCAAAAAAATAAATGATTATAACAATCTGTATATATATAGATTTAAATTTAAGTTTTACATAAACATAAGTAAGTAGAAGACTACAAAATATGCACACATGTATATTTATTACAAATGGCATGTATGCTTATACATTGATAACCAAACCTTAATTTGGAATTCAAGTTCAACACATGTAAATATATCGCGATTAATAAAACTCCACTTATACATTGTAGTTTAGGCGCTATGCATGTAAACACTTAAGAAAATTTGAAACGAATCTGAACTCCATACATGTAAAAAATTGTGTTATATATGTAAACAGTTATAGTACTGAGAAAAACATGAAATCATACATACATATATATTCATACGAAGTAAATTGCTGTACATATAATCACTTAAATGTATTCAGAAAAATCTGAAACCACGCATATACGTACATAAGAAATGAAGTTTGAAAACATTGAGTAAAGTTGTAATAAAAAAAATTTAGATATGACACCTGCAAACACGAAGTAGATAGAGATGCAGAAAATCTTTCGCAAAAATCCTACCTCGAACAAGGACACACTAAACAGAGGGAGATGTAGCCCGAGCTCATGAAAGGGAAAAATTATTGCATACGGACGGTCCGATCCTGAAGGTAGATCAGGTGATCGACGGTCAGAATGTATTTCGGTGGACCTTACCTAAAATTTAAAAAAAAAACTGAAATATATCCTGACCGTAGGATTGGACACCGCATGTGTGTGCAATAATTTCTCCAAGAAAGGTTTAGAAAAATTATGCGTGCTAAATATTAAAATCCTCACAATAATATTTTCTCAGGAGAGCGGGTTGTTTGGTTCGGGCCATAATTTCACTTTTTTTTTCCGATATTTTGGCAGTCATATTATTTGACACAATGTTATTCGCATTTAAACGAAATTGAATGTCCGGATGCCAGACCTAATGTTTCTCGGAAACACAATGGACCCCAAATCAAATGCAGAATAGACCCGCCATAATGGCTTTTAGGGTTCCATCCCTTTAACCTTCGTCAGGAGTTCAATGCTCATTTACTAACACCTCTCTCATAACCCTGCAACGGCCAACTACCAACCTCCCCACTTGGCCTTTATAATCACCAATCAACTCCCCTCGTTCCCCATCGCCTCCTTCCCTCCTCATCAGTTATTTGTTAGCGCTCCTTGCCAATGGCTCGCTCCACTGCTTCGATGGCAGTCGTATGCATATTGTCCTTCCTCCTTGTTTCCGGCGTTTTCCGCGAGGCGAGCGGGGCCATCAGTTGCGGCCAGGTGTTCTCATCCGTGGGATCGTGCGTCAGCTATATTCGAGGCCTTGGCCCGCTCACCGGAGGATGTTGCGGTGGGGTGAAGAAACTGAACGGACTGGCGAGCACCACCCCTGACCGTCAGGCGGCATGTTCTTGCCTCAAGAGTCTTGCCGGCCGTATTCCTAATCTGAAACCTGCCCTTGCTGCTGGACTTCCTGGAAAATGCGGCGTCAGTGTTCCATATCCCATCAGCACCTCCACCGACTGCTCCAAGTAAGTAATCTAACGCCTGGTCCTTGCTCAGTGCGACAGTTTTGTTTGTTTTCGTGATAACTGATTTGGATTGCTTTTTCTTTCTTTTTTTCAATTGTTTATGTCTGCAGGGTGCACTGAGCTCCTTGGACGGGCTGCAAATTACTGTTTTCGTTTGAGCTACAGAATAAAGTGGTCGCTGGGTCTAGTGAGGGTTGTTAATATGTTGATGTTGGGCGTTTCTGTCTTATTTTAATTTATGTTCCTGTTTTGTAATAAGGCTACACCCTTAGATGTGGTGAGGTTGGTATTACTGCTATAATATCATTGCTGTTTCTACTTATATAATATACAACATATTATAATTATATGTCTGCTTTGCTTTACTTCCGTTTTTCCATGAGTTTTTGTGCTGTCGGCTCTAACATAATAATTGATTTGTGTTGAAGGTGGAAAAGAGTCTAATTATGTTCGATCCACCTTCCAATGAAGCGTATATGTGATTCATTTAATTGAGTTTGAACTCAAGCTCAAGCTTAATTTTATGAGTTTGAGTAGGCACCTGATTATTATGAAAAAAAGGAAAAAAATATTAATTCAAATTAGCTTTATATTAAATTGAAAAATTGGATAAACAATTACATGATAAATAATAAATCATTTGATACAAAATAAAAAAAATATAATTTTTTACCCTTTTTCAATAATTTAAAGACAAAAAACTGAATTTCAATATATTTTGACTATATTTTCTATCAATTATTTTTTAAACGAGTTAGCTTATGAACTAATAAGTCGAGTTGGGGTTCTCTTGAGCTTGACTTGTTAGCTCTTTGAGCTCAGTTCACGAGCCACCTATCCAGCGGAGCAGCTCATGAGAGAACTTGACTAACTTTCACCCTTAAATCTCTGTTAAATCTATGGTTTTGATAATTTGTTGTCGGTTTCATAGTTTTGGTCTAGCTCAAAAAAAAGTTTGTTCACAAAACTGAGTTTGAGCTAGTTAATATTGGATTGAATTATTCTAGTTTCTTATGAACAGGTCGGTTCTAAGATTATACAGTTCAAATATTTTGATTTCAATGATGAATAAGATTTAAATTAAACATAGAAAATATAATTTCTCAAAAATTTGATACAGAATATCAATTGTAGAGTGTCTTAAATTAAAGTACTATTTGTTAAATTGATAAAAATAATATTATTACATTATTATTATATATTTAACTTATTAACATATTTCTAATATCTATTTTTGCTATCCAGTTCAATCTTTGGTTTAACACAAATTTAAGAAGATATATTAATCATCTAATTCTATTATAATTAAACTTATGCCATAATATGAATCAATGAAACAAACCTAATAAGATCATTCTCACTAAATATTAAGTTTAAATAGACATAACTCGAATGGTAAAAAATTCCATGATTTATCTTTTATGTCAAAGGTAATTCAAACTAGAATCAAGTTAGATTTTGAAATATCATAAGGGAAAAAAACTTAATGATTGTCTGAGATTTATTCCATTTTTTCTAACAGTTGTAATGCCTTCTTACGAAATTTATAAATAGATCTTCAAAAATAATATGAAAATTTAGGCATTAAATAGGAAAGTTTAGGCAATATATATGTAATTATATAAGAATTATATAGTCAATTTGACAAAGATCATATATTTTCATCACCTCATGGGGGCCTAGTTAGTCCTATCAATCAAACACTCATGACTAAAAGGCCACATCATTTACGAGTTTGATTAGCAACCATATATTATATCTAATACAATACAACATATTCTATTAAAGTGAGGCCCAAAGTTTGGATTAAAAAAAGGGGGAGGTACCAATAAAGATGAATGCGGCATTGAGGTTCAAAGATGTGACTATGGAAAGTGAAACACATTAGGCTCCACCAATTCATAACAAAGTTGGCTGATTAGACGCATAACACATGATTGTCTCGAAACATGCCCTGTAATTTCCTTGAAGAAATTGTCTACCATCAATCCATTTATAGCACAAAAAACACTGATCCACTATAAAGGCTTATATTGAAAGATCCAACTTGAGAGTCAAGAATTATAATTTCATTTTAACCCCAACAAAACCACTAAATTATTTTTATTTAAGTGTCATTGATGCATGTTAGAAAATTCACGGCAGTAGAGTAATGGATTATCATCTTAGCGTTTCACGAGAATTTAACACACACTCAGATAAAAGAAAATAACCAATGGTGACAACAGAAGATTTTACGTAGAAAACCCAGAAAAGAAAAAAAATCACAGGGTCTAGCCCAGCTGATGAATTCCACTATATATTAGATATTACATGCACAGTCTCTTATCCAACAAGTGAGAAAGAGTTGAACATACTTCGAAGTCACAATGCTGGTGCATGAATGAACTTGTTGTAAGAAGAGTGACGATCGGTGGAGGCCGACAGGTGGTGGTCGACGACGGTTGATGGTGATCGATGGAGATCAGCGATGGTCAACGACGGTCAGCAATGGGCGACAGATGTTAGCGGTGGTCGACAACGGTTGGCGATGTTGACGGCGGTGGGTTGTGGTCAACGACAGTTGCCGATGGTCAATGACAATCGACGACATATGAAGGTGGTAGAAGTGATGCTGAACTTCAGCTCATTCTCAAACCTCCAAGTTTTTTCTCAAGTCTCAAGCTCTATTCCCTCTCATGAGAGGGTGAGAGCTGTATTTATAGAGTTATGGGTGCAATTTTATGCTGGAATATGAATCACATTGATCGGACGATCCATAGATATTTCTATAATCACACGTCATTTGATGGACATTCAAGTTTCTTAATAAAGTCAGAATTTAGTGATTTTGGACTCGTTGAATTAGTAATGTCGAGATGCTCAATTCGACTATAAGCTGTCATATTCGGCTTTGCTTTGCCCTTCCAAATATTCTCATAAAGCTTTCAAATGTGGTTTAATGGATTGATCTAATCTTGATTTGACTTGAATTGGAACAATTTTGATACCATTGAGTCTGTCTCATTGAGCCAGTCAGTTTGACTGTATGTTTGCAAATATTAGAGCTCTGGATGACTTTTATCAAAGTTTAAACATTTCTTGCTTAAATGATTATGTCGAGATCTGTGTAATGCCTAAAAAATTATGCTAGATATCTAAACTTTGTTGATAGTGCATCAGTTGCCCCTATTTCCGGGTGATATTAACATTTTCATCCGAAAATATTAAAATTTAAAGCACTTTATATTTATCATGGTATTATTAATAAAATATTAAAAAATTAGACTGTAAATTTAAAAATTTTGGTAATAGAAATGTACATATATAAGATTAACATGGTATGTATGTAAAAAAAATTGAAAATTATATATATATATATAACTTTTAAAAAACAAACATATTAAAGTTAGATTAAATGAATTCCTGATCAATGGGCTTTCAAATACTCACTTTTATTATTGTAGATATTTAAATAAACTTGCAAGGATAGAGGAGCATAAAGTACATCAATTTGTAAGAAATATCTGACTCAAGAGACAATTTAATTATGATTGGTCATTGTAAGCCACTTTTAAAAAACAAACATATTAAAGTTAGATTAAATGAATTCCTGATCAATGGGCTTTCAAATACTCACTTTTATTATTGTAGATATTTAAATAAACTTGCAAGGATAGAGGAGCATAAAGTACATCAATTTGTAAGAAATATCTGACTCAAGAGACAATTTAATTATGATTGGTCATTGTAAGCCACTTTTAAAAAACAAACATATTAAAGTTAGATTAAATGAATTCCTGATCAATGGGCTTTCAAATACTCACTTTTATTATTGTAGATATTTAAATAAACTTGCAAGGATAGAGGAGCATAAAGTACATCAATTTGTAAGAAATATCTGACTCAAGAGACAATTTAATTATGATTGGTCATTGTAAGCCACTTTTAAAAAACAAACATATTAAAGTTAGATTAAATGAATTCCTGATCAATGGGCTTTCAAATACTCACTTTTATTATTGTAGATATTTAAATAAACTTGCAAGGATAGAGGAGCATAAAGTACATCAATTTGTAAGAAATATCTGACTCAAGAGACAATTTAATTATGATTGGTCATTGTAAGCCACTTTTAAAAAACAAACATATTAAAGTTAGATTAAATGAATTCCTGATCAATGGGCTTTCAAATACTCACTTTTATTATTGTAGATATTTAAATAAACTTGCAAGAATAGAAGAGCAAAAAGTACATCAATTTGTAAGAAATATCTGGCTCAAGATACAATTTAATTATGATTGATCATTGCAAGCCAAATTGAGAAAACAAACATATTAAAGTTAGATTAAATGATGATATTGATGATATGGGAACATACCAATTATTATTATTTGGATTGTGACATGGAATTACTGACATTTGATATTTTCAATCTACATAACCAAATTAAAGAACTTTAGACATTTGACAAATGTTAAAACCTTTGTTAGATCTCCCTTATATGGAAATCCAGTTTAAATATCTTTGTCTTATGAAACTTTGAACTATTCAAACTCATTGGAAGCAAATGAAAACATTTGTATCAAAATTCAAGAACTAATCATGGCTTCTAGAATGAACTTTCAATCGAGTTAAGACAAGGTTAACGATTCCATTTCTCAATCTGTAGGCTCTAAACAAACAAGCTCATGATTGACATTTATTGATTCAACAAAAACCAAACTTATCGGGAGTAAACCGTGCACTTCAACCAATTAACGAGATTTCGAAGTGAAAAAGTCATAAATCTCATATCTCACAAAGCAGCTATTGTAAAAAAACCTGCATCCACTTTTATCCCCGCATTTGCTTGGAAGCAAGTCTTCAATGTAAGTCAAACACTCGATGCATGTGGACTTCTTCATATCACCCGTGCATTGTGCCATTCCATAGATGCTCACACCATCCAGGCCAGTGATATTGCTTGCCAACGCCTTCGCAAACAAGTTAGTTTCCGACCCCGCCACTACCATAGTCTTTAGTTTGCCAACCATCAGCTTTACCGCTGGTACAAATATTGAAGAAGTTTGTGCTTCCTTCTTACTAAATAGAAAATATTCGGCTCCAGAAATGGTCCAATATCCTAAGAAGTTAACTACATCATAACGGAGGAAGCACGGATCGTACAATATGTATGCTTGTGCTTGACTAAGAAGTCCAATTCCCTAAGAAGTTCTGTTCCTGCATCCTTGATGCAATTCTTGCAAAGGTTAGTGCTGGCATCCCCTCTGCACTGAGCGAGACCATAAAGAATGCTGCCATTTTGGGAGGAGGAGAAAATGGAGCTCATAAAACCTTTAGCAAGAGCAACCTCCATGAGATAATATGTGGTGCTTACGATGCGGGCTCTTAGGTCGATGTTATCAGTGATGTCTTTGGCGCAACAGATTTTATATATGAAACTATCGCATTTGGCAAGAGGAAGAAGGAGAAAATACCAGAGCAATAACTTGTATGAGAATTCCATTGGTATATAGTATCTTCCTTGTTACAATGTTAACTAATAATTAATCTACTTTGTCGATTCATGCCTTCTCCTTCCTTTTTATAAGTGCTAGTTTGAAGGTTGGGGTGGTAGTTGCCATATATTTTTAATGTTTTTATGCTTTACTGTTTCGTTTTTCTCAGGAAACAATTATGCTAAAGATATATATTATATTGAAAAAGTTCATATGCCTAAATGAATTTCTCTTCCACAAAGAACATCTTCAATATTGCATAATTTTTTTATGCTATTGTAAGAATGGACTATTTCAAAAAAATATTTATGAACTTTTAATTCTGGGTCAAGTATGATATGATATATAAATTTTTAGAAGACCTATAGAAGTCCGAATATTGTCTTGCACTGACCATTTCATTGGTTCTTCATTGCTGTCCATGTGGTTCTTCATTCTGGGCTTTTAGATACTCCACAGCCAATCCAACTTTATACGGAAAATAATGTTTTAAAATAAGAGCTTTTTACTTTATTAAAAAAGGCTAATTACAAAGGAGAAATTAAAAAAAAATACTAATTATTAGAAATATTTTAAAGTTCTAACATTTATAAAACAATAAAGGTGGCACGCGACTTAAACCACTACATAGTCACGTGGAGCTGCCGTTGCCATGTGGGTTGCGGGATGGAGAGTTTATCAATTTTACAATTTTTTTAATTAATCATTTTTTAATATTAAAATTTTAAATATTTATATTTTTTAAATTTCACCAAGAACTTCATTTATCAATATTGAAAAATAATAAAAATAAGTACAATTAAAGAAATTTGAAAAGCAACTAAAAAATAATGTTCCCTCGATTCAAAATCAATTAAACAAGTTAAACAAATTTTTTCGAAAACAAGTTAGTTAAAATTTACTTTGCTAGCTATCACAACAGTAAAATCATCAAATATGGGTTAAAATAGTGTCTGATTTTTTCAACCGATTATTTAACGATCCAATATGCAAAGGTTTGATCGCATACAGCTTAGCAGTTGAAAAACTGGCTGACAATTCTCCAGGATTATTGTGACGGCTTAAAAACGCTGATTTTTTCAGTTGATTCTTATGTCACTTGAAATCAGCTAATTACTTGTTGATATTTCAGGTTTATTGTGACCTAGTTGTCTCCTTGAGGAATGCTCGACGGCCACAACGTTATTCAGCTACCACATCTTTGCTTGAATCTGACTAGAAAAAGGTAAGCCTCGTAATTCTCTCCCATCCTTACTCAATTTGTAAGTATTCGCTCTCGTTAATTCTATTTTCTTCCTCAACATGGACTCTTCGGCTCATTATCATGACAAGGAATCCAAACATAGCACTCATTTTGTATGTGGTGACATATGTAGCAAGTAAACATCAATATCCACATCTTGTTTAGCGTTAGGATTATGTTTAGAGTCATACAACTGAATTTGTATGTATTTACATATCTCACACCGAAATTTTATCTTTACATACATATTAACGTGGTGCTTTAAAGTTATACATGAAAGGTGTAGTTCACCACTTTTAATAAGGGTTTAATTTTTCTAATTCCTGTGTGATTTTAAGGATTTGAGTGTTGTGTGAATATGAAAGCTTAGGTATGAGATGTGCAAATACATATGAGATGTGCTAATTCCTGTCCCTTTCATGTTTCAGATTAAATCTTATGAGAGGTAACCATGATGTTGTATTTCCTCAGTACCCCAAATATCTACCACATGAGCCTGCAACTGTTTGGCGTAGTGACAATATTGAAGAGGAGAATGATGATTAGTTTGGATCTTTAGTTTTGTTTGATATTTTTAGTGTGTGTTGTTATGAACTGTTGTAAGTGCAATTGTTCTGTACTTTGTGTTATGTTTTCAGTTATTATTGTTGCGACTGTTAGTTTTTGTTATGTTGTGTTTTGTTGTACACCTACTCTGATGTATCTGTGTTTTGTGAGTAGTTATTATGTTTGTATGGTAGTAATTGGGTTAATTATGTTGTTTAATGTATTTAGTTAGTTTGTGCTGAACTTAATTCTGGATCTTAGTAAGGTTTAGAATCTAGCTAACTTTTAACTTAAAAGCTGCATGTTTAAAATTTTCAATTTATGACCAGTTATTTTTCTTTATGTTGTGGTCATGTATGTTTGTTAGTGTTTTTCTTTGTTTTTATGTTATACTTCACTGCATAGAAGTTTGATGAATCTCTATATGTTAAGAAAATTAACATTTGATCAATTTAATTTTTACTCCTTTTTTACTCCTATTTTAATTCTATTTTAATTTTTGTACTAATATATTTAGGATATGAAAATTCTTGCAAGCAAGTTTTTTTTTTAATTTTCATTCTTGCCAATATTTATATGATACTAAAATGCTTTACTTTTATTAAAAATTTAAGTTTGGGGGGGGCGGGGGGATGAAAAATTTTCTAAGGAACTTAAAAATTTATTTGTTCTCGATTGTGCTTCAAATAAATTTGATTTTGATTTAAAGAAAAATGATCATGTATATGAAGTTATATTAGGGAAGTAAGATTTTGAATATAGAAAGAATTAAGAGAATTTAGTTAAAATTTATAGTAATGAAAAAAAACTTAAAGTTAAAATTTTTAGTGTGGAAAATGATAAATATAGTGTAATTATCTTTAGTAAGAAAAATTCTATTTTTGAAAGAGTTAGAAATTTAGAACTTTTAAGATTTAGATTTTTATTTTCAAAACTTAAATTTATTTTATTGAAAATAATTTTTAAAACTATTTTAATGTTTTTAAGTGAAAGAAAAATAACAACTCTTTGCTTTAGGAAAGGAAGAGTGGGATTGAAAATCATTAAAGTCTATCAAGATATAATAATCCTTACCTGAAAAAAAGAAAAAGAAAAAAAAAAAGAAAAAGAAAAGAAAAAGGAAAAGAAAAATAAAAAGAAAAGAAAATTTGAAAAAGGGAGGAGAAGTTTGAGGATTAGTGCCGAATTAAAAATTAGTTCCACATCTAATCTTTTTAAAGTATAAGACTTGAGAAACTCTTAAGTTTAATGATATAATGTAGTAAGTCAAATTATGCTTAATAAAAATTTTTAAGTAGAGAAGATAAAATACCTAAACTCTATATTTGGAGAATCTACAATATTTCTGAATTAAATAGAAACTCATATTTTCATATTTCTTAACTTTAAAAATTTATAAACTCTAAGTTGGTCTCATTTACTAATATTTTTTCTCAATTGGACTACTATATTTCTACACCAAAATTTTGGTAACTCCTAAAATAACGCATATACATCATCTACTTATATTGGTTTTAAAAGATTGAAGGGTCACTCGAGGACAAGTAACATCTTAATTTTGAGGGATTTTGATACACCAAAAAATATAGTATTTTTATACACATTTTTATACCTAATTTTGAGATACTGCACTTTAATGAAAGGTATTTTTGTGTTTTTCGTTCAGGTACAATCAGATGGAAGAAAAATGTTAAAAGGAGTGAAAAATGATCAAGTTTGGAGCAAAAATGAAGAAAGGTCCAAAATGAACTAGGGCGCCTAAGCGCTCAGGACTAATGGCTAAGTGCCAGAGGCTCGCGCCTAAGCATTAAGTACCCCGCGCTTAAGTGTCATAAGTAGTTATTTGATGATTCATTGAATTTAGATGAACTTTTGAAGAGGTGTTTGAAGCAACCCTTAGTAAAAACATGAGAAATAGTCCATGTACACGAAAATTCATTCAATTGACTTTTGAAAGGAGACAACTTCTAGAAGATTCACTGAATGAGGACACGTTTTGAAGAGACGCCAAGACACCTTTTGGAATTTTATTAAAGAAGACTTGGATCATCAAAGCCGACCGCCTAAAGTGGCCAACCACCCATCAGATTTTATAGTCATCATCCATCTAAGCAACCAACCGCCACCGTCGCCGCCGCTGGCAACTTTCTTTTTATTTTGAGTGTTAGTTTGTATTGTGAGTGAAGGAAGAGAATTCAAAGGAACTTCAAGACATTTTGTGGAGAGTATTTGAGATAAGTGTTTATCTTTGTGACTGCACTTGGTTTTAATCTAGATTTCTTGTTTGTGTGCATGATTTCTACTTTTAAACTCATGTGTGGTGGTGTTTTCTCCATAGATTTTGAGTAGTTTTCTTTATATTTTTTCTTTAAAAGATAAGTGATTAAGTGTTTAAAGGATGTTGTGTGAAGTATTAGCCTTCAAATTTGGAAGAAGTTATGATGATTTGAAACCTTGCACTTCAGTTACTTTTTAATTTGGTCAATTAAGATGTTAATACCTATTGTGAGAACATGTAAGATTCGAGATGGTATTATCTCAGTCAACAAATGGTTAGAATCATATATTGATTTCATGAATGTAATTTGGCCAATTAAGATGTTAATACATGTTGTGAGAACATGTAAGATCCGAGATGGTGTTGTCTCAGGCAACAAATAGTTAGAATTATATATTTATTTCATGAATGAGAATATAGTTCATGGGGTTAAGTGCAAATAAATAGGGAAATATATTTTAAAGGGTATAGAATTAGAGGACTTTAGAGCGACAGACTAAAACCCCCAATTTGATTTATAGTTTTAGGTTTGATACGAGATATTAGCCCCCAAGTGGAGGGAGAAGAGGGAACTTTAGAGTGAGAGCGGGTATCTTCCCTACCTAACCCGTCCTCAAGGCTATTCAAACTATAGATTAGTCAATGTTCTTTATGGCATCTCTAGTAAGGGTAAAGAACATGATTACTCCTATTTGACACAACACATTTAGCATACTTCCAAAAAAGAATTTTTACTTATTACTGATTCATGATAAGAAAAAAGATATTTTATTTATATAGCATTCATCTTG